CCATTTTGCATCGTTATATACAACCCAAAAAAAATTGTTGCTTTCCCTGGGATCTTTTTAAAAGCTTTAAATTATCAGGCATTGATGTATAAACATTCCTTGGCTTTTAAAACTGTAATCTTTTAAAATATCATTAAGAAACTCAATATTTCTTTGAATGCCTTATTTCTCTCTCTGTTTAACCTAATGAAAAAAAGAAAATACACAAGCAAAAAACAAGTTTTGTTTAAAAAAAGGATGCAAAAACTAAACAGCCGATGGAGGATCCTACAAGAGAATATTAAGCTCCATGGTTTTAAAAAGGATTTCAGCAAAAATTGCATGCTTTTTATTTATTTCAGTCAATTTGAATCATGCAAAAACACCAGTGTGGCATACTAACAATAGTACACATATTACATACACCACTCCCTGGTGGAGATGTTCCATTTGCTGATATTTTATTTATCATGTCTTTTTTCTCTGGTGCTGCTGACATGTCATGAGCTACTATACCCTCTTCTCCTGGCATATGTCTTCCCCACCTTTCAGTGCGCTCGTGTCTCTGACACCATATGGCCTTCTTTCTGGGGAGGAGGTGTTGAGACAGTGCCCATTTTGCTGCTAAGTTTAAGGGAAATGGTCTATTTCCCCTTTTGTACATCCTCATAAGACTTTTATCTTTTTTTTCTCTTACATTTGTTCTATCTTATAAATTATTCAGTTTAGGTTTTGCAGTGTAGGATAAATGATTCTTTTGTAGCCAGAGATTTTATTTGCCTTTAGCCAAATGTCCACTAGCATTACTGAGGTGATTCACAGAAAAGTACTATAATTAAAATTTTGAGTCACAGAGTGACGAAGGCCTGCGCCGCATCTTCACTCCCCTCAGCAGACAGTTCGGTTCTCTGAGAGGATTGTATCAAAACCTAGAAACATGCAAAACCAAACGATTCTACTTATTTGACTAACTTACGTTACATACAGTGGGATACATTTGTATTTGCCACTGTAGGTCTGCTTCTGCATTGATGCAGGTTTGTAGCTGCAACGTTTAAGAGGCTTAGTGTGCAGTTTTTTCTTCCTTTTTTGACACGTGTTTCAAGAAAGAACGACAGGAAAAGACTAACAGGTGTGTAAGTAGTATCACTGATGTGCTTCCTGTTTGTGCCTGGAGAATAGCTCTTTATGGACGGATTATATCAGAAGGTATGTTGTTGTATATCTTTGTTTTATTTTAACAAAAAGTAGGGTGCGCATATTTCTTTATTTTGGTGGTAAATTGCCTCTCTCTGAAGCTGTGCTCCAGGGTTGTTAAGCAAACAGGCTTTATAGCCTTTGGAATACACTTTTTTAGAATAATTAAAGTTGCAGTCCTTTATTAGAATGATCATGTTTTTTTTTTATTTGATTTTAGCTGTTCCAACCTGTAAACCTTATAGCACATCTTATGTCTAATAAGCAAATAACAAGATGGAAAGGATATGGCCCAAACTGTGGTTGAACCTTGATGTGTCTTCGCAGTTTCCTGTTTTCTTGCTCTTCTTGTTTCTCCGGCTTTTGCCTCTATCCCTTTTGTGCATGGCTTAAATGATCGAGAGACCTACAACCAGGAAGACTTTCTTCTAGAGCAAGAACAATACCGTATATGTTTTTTTGTATACTGTAACAAGGACTTTCTTATTTTGATTATTATTTTTTATAATTCCTGCTGTAGAAGTACTGCCTAACTTGCATATACTTCTTAACACATATATTAATACTTAAACCATTATTTGCTTTGAAAAAAACATGAGTTTCAGCATTTTTTAAATACAAATGCATGGTACACAGAAAATGCTCCATGCATAATTATTTTTGCCCATTATTCTCAAAATACCAGCAGCATGGGTGGATAAGATGAAGGGGATCTGTGGTTCCCGTCCTAATGCTTCGATGTCTTGTCCATCTGCTGGGATGTGGGAGGCCAATTGCTAGAATTGCGTGGGGGTCTGGGACAGTGGAGGGTTTGGCCCTGTCCTTGCGAGGGTGCTGGCTGGCTGCCGTGGCTGTGCGGCAGGTGGGATGGGATCACTATGCCCCGATGCATCCCAGATCGGCCCCCAGACCTTTGGAGAAGGGTGTATGTATGAGGAGTGTAAGAGTATGTTTAGTGTCTGCCCCTGTGTGCGTCTCTGTTGAGTTCTTGTATATGTCCCTATGGGTGTAAGGGTGGAAATATGTGAATGTAACTGAACTGAATGTGGATTTGCTTTTTGCGGCTTGTCAGGTTTAAAGCTATATTGGCAAAACCGGGCATAGATCTGAACTCAGAATCATTTTAACACGAAAATATGGTTTGATCTAAGTGTTTCAATTTGACTGTAAATGTGTTCAGGGCCCTTGTCCTTGTGGAACATTAACATCCACCTATTTCTCAGCCCTCTTAATATGTTTATTTCCATGGTTAAACTTTTGATTAGCCCCATCCACCTTCCCATCCCCCAGGTCTGACCATCCAGTGCCCTGCATCCCTGAAGAAAAGCTTTCCCAAATCATGATGCTGTTTCTACTATGTTTTGCTCTGGGCATGGTTTGAACATGATGTCGTGTTGGTTTCTTATTCACTTCTCTCAGGGGATTCATACCAGAGCACTTTCATCCACATAATTGTTGGGTCTCTAACAAGGCTTACAGCAAGCTTATTTGATTAGTGCTCTTCTTGCCCCTCCAGTTTGTCCATGTCCTCATAGGTGTGCAAATATGCTTTTTCAGTTGAAGGTTGTTTACGGCACTGTTGGGCTTTCAAAATTTAAGATTAGTTTTATATCCTAATTATGCATTAAAGTCGTCAACAGCTAATATTTCTCAGCAAATGTGGCATATACTACTATTTATAAGTAAGTTAATTTAGCCACTACTTCCTGCTAATTAAATTTTTTTATTATTCTTTTTTAGGTTTTTGTGGCATTAGCAGGTCCCCGGGTGCCGCACATTGGTAGCCCACAGCTCCTGGGTTAAAGGAGCAGTGGGCTGGGTTAAATGCAGAGTGTGAATTTCGTTGCTTTGTAGTTGTGACAATGTAATGCAGATAAAAGTTTTTTATTATTATTTATTTGACAGAAAAGGGAGAGCAAGAGAGGGGGAGAGACATACGGCAAAGGACTACAGACCAGATTTGAACCCCGGTTAGCCATGTCGAAGACTAAGGCCTCCATACATCGGTCGTGCATGCTAACCACTGTGCCACTGAAACATGCCCCTTACTAGAAACACATGAACGCTGCAAACCCAAAAGCTTGGTTTATGCTTGATGCATCTGTGAGGTCAGCATGTGAAATCTGTTCAGACAGAATTTCCACACTACGCACCTTTGGAACTACGCGGCCAGATCCGTGCAGAAAACATACAAGCGATAAGCAGCTCCTACAGTCGAGGGTTTGCAAATATAAACGTTTAGAAATAGCCTGAGATTTAACCCATAATTATTACCACTACCATCAGATTGTGGAAAAACTCTTGCAAAAAAATGACTGCCACTTTTGGGTGGCATGAGGCTTCGAAAAATGTATAAATTGCTGTGCTACCTGTTTTATCGTTTTGTGTGTTGATGTCAGCCTCCTGTTTGTGCTGTAATTGTCCTTCTTTTCATAAGTACATACAATTACATGCGTTTTTTAAATCATTAGCATTTACTAATTTGTTGTGATTTTTTATAAACCTCCTGCTATTAATCGTAGTCTTTAACTTGGTATGATGTAAAAAAAAAAATGTCACTGGAAATTAAAGCTCTTACAAGCCACTAGGTACTGGAAAACTATGCATTACTTAGAGGTGCTTGCAAACTAAAATCTTTTGAGAAAATAAAAATAGACCTCTGTCCTGCATCATACAGAATTGGTTCACAGATGCTACAGTCCAACACATTTAATTAATTCCATCCTGATTGCATTACTGCTCCTCTGAAGTGTGACAGCATCATATCAGTGTTAGTCCTCCATTTATCCACACATGCATGCCCTCCATCTTTACATGCTTGTGCAGAGAGGCTTTACTCTAATTTTCTACAGCCATGCTGGTTACACTCTAGCTCCCATGCTTTAATAAGAGTGGGATTATTAGAGTTCAGCAGGATATCCCCGCCCTCTCTTCCATCAGCTCACTGTTTCATCCCCAGTCCTTCCTTTTCTTTCATATCTTTATACATTCTGCTCCTTTTCACCTTGTCTTGTTCTCCCTGTCGTTTCTCGCCCTCTGACATGGCATGACCCGGTGCGCTGCTAGGTACATGGGATATTCTTTCCTCATTTGTTGTAGTGGATTGTTTTTTGAGTGATGTGTTTTTCAAGATGGATAGGTGTGTGTATATACCATGTGAATCTATGTATCTGTGTGTTTGGCAGAAAGTTATTTGCTCTCCTCTTATGCAAGCTGGTCTTGGCGGGGTAAAAGCAAGGGTTTAGCTTGAGGGATGCTGGCTCAGGTGGAGCTACAGAGATGAAAGCTATTTTGGGATTGCTTTGCTCCTCGCATCTATGAAGCACACGAGTAACTCACTCACATGGGACTCTTGATTTCTGATGGGATGACAGGACAATTGGAAGTAGGATGTTGCTCTGATGTCTGCCAGGTTTGCTTAAATCGGGGCTGATTCCAGTCCACAATTATTATAGCAGTAATGTTTGTTTTTATTCACTGACTCTATTAAATCCCAGCCATTAGTTAAAAGGCTTAGATTACCACAGCTTCCCAGAGCTGAAAGTGCTGGCTCCCCGTAGCTTCCTTCATCTGTTCTCCAACTTTATTATTTCTGCTCATCCAGTCATGGGCATCATCTTTTGATGGTTTATACATTAAAAATGCATCTCTATTGTGGTAGTAAAAACAATGATCGTGACTCTAGATACTTTGTTCTATTTTTGTCACCAATCCTTTATATACTGTCACCCTTTGAACGTGATCATCGCCATGTGAGATTTGTAGCAGTTTTTGACAGTTGTGCTTATCTGTCTGTGTGTATTTTTACTATCTCCCTGTCCCAGACGATGCCGCTGCCCTGGTTCCAGACTCACCTGCCTCACGCCGTCCCCAGCCTGATCCAACATAAGGGTGCTACCAGCAGCAAGTGCTGAACACAATCGTGTGGAGAACCATGCTGTCTGGCTCCTGGCGTCGGTCTGTGGGGCCGACACATCCCGCTGCTGCACACGTGGTGAACCCCAGTGCAATGACTGTGTGTGGGGTTCCCAGCGGTACTGTGGTTCTTGAGGCACAGTATGACTACAGCTACCGTGGATCAGATGGACGACAAGTTTGCATAAGAGAGGGCGAAAGATTTATTCTACTAAAGAAGACAAATGCAGACTGGTGGCAGGTTAGAGAAAATCATTTCACCTTAAGAGAAGGTCTTAAGGGGGGGGGATTCGAAAGTACTAAAGAGAACTTTTACCTTTTTGTAAGCAAAAGGTGTGCAGCAACTTAATTTTATCAAAGAGAAGTAATTGATAAGAAACATAACTCTATGACTACTTATTTCCTTGCTGAATAGTGTACTGGCTTGACACTCCCATGCTTAAACTTGGATAATAGGTGTTGGTCCAGAACATAAAACTTACATATACATAAGATAAGATAATATAGACTTTATTGATCTTAAAGTGGAGGAATTCACTTTCACACCGGCTCAATAGTCAAAAGAAGGTGACAAAGGGAGGAAAAGGTGCATGGGGTATAAACAGTGCATCTACATATATAATGTAAATAGAAAGAAAAAAAGAAATAAGGCAGATATTTACGGTGACTTATGTACATTTAAGGTGATTTATATACATATGGATTTGGCATTGTACATTAAAGTGGTACCAGGTAAAGAACAACAGTGAGGTAGTGAGAAGGGCTTCAAATAACTCAAAAAGTGTGAGTTACCCTATTAATATTAAAGAAATGGTCAGATTATCATTGGTTTTTACTGCTTGTTTAATGCCTTATGTAAACATCTGATTTAGAGAAATTAAAGAATTGTTTAAGGTTTTCTCCTTAATTTTGCATTCACGAAATCCTTACTGACTTTGGAAATGAGAGTATTTGTCTGATTTTATGTCAGATGATGAGGTAAAAAATGGTAAAATATGGTACATGTTATCATTTGGGATGAAGTCTCTCTTCCATGCATATTTCTTCTTATAACCCATTTAACTCTCCCTTATTTCTTCACTTGGTGCTTGAATTTACTCTAATGAAAATGTTGAAAGCTTGCCGTTGTTCTTGGACAGGTGCGGAGGATTGGTGCAGCCAGTAAAACAAAGCCTTTGTATGTCCCTGCTACGTATGTGACTGAGGTACCGATCACGCCGATGCCCTCGCCTCAACGCCTCGTCACATCTGTGTCACTGCACTCCAACATGAGGATGCTACCTCGTGTTTCACTCTCTCCCAGCTTCACAGGAACCGGCTGCAATGAACAGAGTCAAGGTAAAATTGAATAAAAAAGTTTAATCAAGAAAATAAAATGTTAAAATTTGGATTTACTGTTTTTTTCCCTCTGCAGTCAACAAACCAATGTATCGGTCCATGGAAAACCTTAACTCTTACAGCAGTGCCTTCCAGAGGTCTGGTACAAACACCAGGATGGGGGGAAACCACTTCCCTACCCTGCCTGCCTCTGGATCCACCTTTACGTCCAATTCTTCAACCTCCCAATCACGTCACCTCATGGTGCCGGGGTCCCCTGCTGCTTCCACAACACAAACAAGCTTGTCCAATTACAGGGTGGTCCCTACCATCACCAGGAGCCAGAGCTCTAGCAACTTGCCTGAAAATCTGAACGAGAACCCGTATGATGAGGTGGGGGGAGGCCTTGGCAGTCGCATCAGCTACAGGCTTCCTAAGAAGTCCTCTAGCCAGTGGGACATGGTGGGAACTTCAGGCAGAAAAAATCGTCTGCAGGTAAGGATATCAAAGACAGAGTTCACCCTTAATGCTGGCAATACAAACATTTGGACGATTTAATGAACAGAACAGGTAGTTTTACATTTGCTAAATCAAGCCAATGACCCTTGTTCCCTTAGAATTTAGCTGTAACCCATTTTTAAGGAGCAGCAATGTTAGAACTTGAAGTTGGTGGATTGGATCTCGTGTTGCTTTGTTCTAACTGAACCAAGAATAGGTCAGATCTGTCTAAAACCTTTCATTTCTTGTAGTCTTCATATTTCATTTTTCTTTATCAATGATTAAGCTGACAAAAAATGTGGTTGTGAATGAATTATATTTAATTTATTTGTACACACATTGAATATTCCAGGTTATTTTGAGATGAAAAAAAAAATCGAAATTTTTAAAGAGACATATCTCCAGCATATTTTAAATACAATAAACATAAAGCTGTTGTTGGAGTTTAACATCCTGATTCAAAAAGTGCAAACACTTCCCAGCATTTAGACTTTGCTGGAGTACTTTCAAATTTAACTTCAGGCTTCAGTCTTCAGTAGGAGTCTATCAGCATGTAATATTATGACTTTGCAATGTTGGTCTACACCCCCCTGCAAAATTCTCTAAAAAGACCAGCTCGTTAAAAAAAATAAGTTCTCTACATCACTTTAATGGTGAATCCATGTATTTATGTCAAACTTAGATCTGCACTTTGGCCATAGCTCTAAGTTTCCTCTAGTATTCATAGTGCTCCTAAAATGTACAATCCCTCTTCAGCTCTCTAGCAAACCAAACTGACTGATATTCAGAATTATTCATGATCTTATCCACCTCGCATGTAGAGCAAAACTACTAACCTGAAATTCCTGCTGCTCTTTCAGTGTTACTGTCAGGCTCTTGGTTTCTTCCCTGAACACATTCTGTCTTGTCTTTTTTATCAGCCTTGTTGCAGGCTCACTTTTCTTTATTTTTCAATTTATATTGACCTCTGCCTTCACCGGGGCTACACACAGCATAATGCTGTGATTGTATTTTGTGCCCCACTCTCCCCACTCTTGTCTGACACCCTCGCTCGGTGAGAGGCTATGATTCCTTTGTTCCTTCTGTGAAAACAATGGTACTTGCAGGACTCTTGACTTTTGGTTCATCAAACGCCTTATACTGTAGTAGGTGTGTATCTATTGTATATATTTTTTTTATATAAGGTTTAGGTTTGTGCAAACATATCCTACAAGTTTGTTGCACTCTGCTTACATGTTTTGTTAATTAATAAAAGTTATTTCTTACATTAAAGGCATAAAATGGTTTGAAGATCATCCTATATTGCTCTAAGTGTCACAGAACTGTGGCTTCTTATGGGGGTGGGTGTATTTTTTATATTTACAATAGAAACTGAAAATTATCTTGTGAAATGAGAAACTATCACCTTAAAGGTACTCTGGATGCTTTCATTGCAAAGCAAAAATGAAGGAGTTAAAATTGATATTCTGAAAGTGGATACTGTCCTTTCGATCCATTTTGGGGAAATATTTTGTGGTTTCATTTTACAAGCCTTCATTAGGCATAACTTTCCTCATTTTCAATTGTCAGTTAATACCTTGTGAAACACCAGGTGGAGCAATAATCATATGCAAGGTGAATATGCTTCTTCTGTGACTGAGAGAAAATGCAGAAGTAATATTATTTGACCAGAGTCTTCATTGCATCACCAACAATTGCAAAATGGGGCAATACCAACGACACAAACTATTATTCATTTCATTTTAATCCAGGCAGTTTTTATTTGTTTCTTAAGAGTCCATTTTTTTAGACAATTCAGGAAAACTTTGCTAACATTAAACATGACATTATCATAACATCACTATACAATCATGACACCGATTAAACAGGTACAGCTTCACTGCAAACTAACAGAATAAAAAGGATATTAAAAACTAAGGTTCAAGTTATTTGAGTTAAAAATATATCAACATTTCTGACATTAAAAACAGCATGTTTTGGGGTAAAAAGAGACTAAAGGAAAACTAATTCTGTAAAAATTATAAATTGCAGTTTTATAAGAAGATCTTAATATCTGAAGAATTTAAGAAAAGTACAATATTTCTGCAGATGTTCATTAAATGCAGGATTTATTTACCATTTATGTGGTCAAAAAAAAGAAATGCAAAAGAAGAACATCCAGCTGTCCAAATGAAAGTACAAACCTAAGTTCTTTCTAAGTTTTCACTTATATAACTTTTATTGTTTTTTTACTTTACGGTTTTTCCTGTCTTCACCAGTGATGTCAATTCAATGTTTTCAATTTTTCAGAGGTTTTTAATGGTTCTTTTTCAATTTAACTTACAAAAACCCATGACAGAAAAAAAAAAAACAACAACAACAAAGGGAACATTTCAAACATTTTTGTTTTGATATAATTTTTAGCTTGTCATGCCTAAAAATGAAATAAAATAAATAAAGATAAAATCAATTTCTAGACTGACATTATTTGAACATGAAGCAGTAGATTTCTGGTACTTTCAATTCTAACATAATTTCTCTCTTTTTTCTACAAGAAATATCTTTTAACATATAATATTTTTCTAAATTAACAATACTTTTTAGTGCTATAGTCTAAGGTACCTCTTGTCTCTTAAAATTCATGATATTTCTTGCCTTCCAAAGTTCCCCTTTTTCACAATTCCCCAGTGATGTCAGATTATAGAAAACGGCTCAAACAAATCCATCACATGCTGCTGTTACAGCAGAAAGTGTGGGATTATATTCGTTTTGACGTCCTCTCACTGGCGGTCTGTAATCTCTTGGATTAACAACCTATAGCTTAAACTATTTTTAAACACAGAATTTTTACAAATTTTACAACTTCTCAGGATAGTCTGAAATCATACAAAAAAAAAAAGAAAACACAACATGATTCTTTTTACAGCTATCAGTCATGTGGACCACCAAAGCCTTTTGTGTAATTTTCTTATGTAACTTGTTTATTATATTTTAAAGGAAGCAACAAAAAACAGAAATTAATAGCAAGAAGAAATTAAAATGAATTTGTCGTGGTTGAATTCTGCACCATGCTTGGGCTCAAAAACTGGCCCCAGGGACTAAAATTGATTTATATTTGGGGTCGTTCTTAATAATCCTCTTGAAGAAGCAATCAAGCTAGTATTGCAGTGACGCCAGAGCTTCCCCTACATTACATCAGAGAGGATTACACATGGACCGTGCTTGTGAGAGAAATCTAAGGTTATTCTTCTGTCAGTAAAGGGAAACTCCTACTGCTGAATCTCCTAAACTGTAGAGATGAATCACTTCTGACCTCTGATTTTGGATATATGTGATCCTAGTGAGACAGATCCGGCCATGCTCTTTTGTTGATCTTGCACTTTGTGTCCTTCCTGTCCCTTTTAGTTGTATGTACCTCTCTGAGAGCCCTCTTTATTTGAGTCCTTAATACCAGTAAGCAGGATTATAACTCCATGTTGTAACCTCAGACATTTCCCTAAATGCTGCCCCGGATCAGTAATTTTAAGTCAGATTTAATTTTGCTCATTAATGTGAGATTATTTGTTGAATTTGAAAGAATATCAAATAAAGTTTGGATGTTTTCTCTGTGTCTTAGCTTCTGGAATTTGACTTGTATCCAAAGCACATGCTAGTCACGTTGTTTGGCAACTTTCCATTCAAATTATAAATACTGTTTGGTGAAAACCTTGAAAAATGCTATTTTGGAGTTGCCAAAACTCAAAAACCTTTTACCTTTTTTTGCTACTATTTTTATTTATTAATTTTTTTTTTTCTGAAAAATGAAATAAATTACCCAATAGCAGCTGATTCAATGGTTTACTGAGAATTTTGATATGGCTGAAAACTACTAATTTCAGAAACACTATCTGTGGATAACAATTCTGATGAAACCACTTTAAGTTTGTTAGATATCGTTACAGAAAACATTTTGTTTGCCCAAAATATCAAATAAGGGTTTAAATTCTTCTCAGTTCTTTATTCTAACCAGACCAAGCCCTTTTGATCGTGAGTTAGTTTTAATGTTGAGGTAAACAGAAGAATGGTGTGGGTCTAGACTCTAGACTCTAGAGTCTAGACCCACACCAGGTTGCTGAAGGAGGCAGTGCTGCCATCTGGAGTCAACTAAAGTCATATTCCTTTTTATACATGAGCACCACACACACATACTTGTTCTGCTATCGTAGTTAGGACCATGTGTTGATTCCCATTGACTTCCATTGATTTTCAGTTATTTTCATCCTTTTCTATGCATTAACCCTAAAACAAACCCTAAACCAAACCATTACCAGTGCATACCTCACCCTAACCCTAACCAATTGACACTTAGCACTACACCTAACAATTAGTAAAAATGTTGTTGCAAAATGTCCTCACTTTGCAACAACTGGTCCTCAGTTTTAATGGAAAATTTGAAAAATGGTCCTCACTCTGATCGCTAGACAGGTACACACACACATACACACACACACACTCCAGCAATCCCTGTGTGTATCAGTGGGGCTTTCTCACTAGAAGATTTGACCCTTAAGCTCTGCTCTCCATGTCAAAGGAGCACTTGGCTGATGCCTAAATTACCCTCAAATTCAGAATCAGCTTTATATCCCAAGGAATTTGACTTTGGTTTCAGGTATTCTCAGTTTACAGAAAGTAGGTATCTCAATTCGTCATGTTTTAGATAGAGAAAATCCCAAATGCAAAGAGTGGCTATGGGGGGAAAAAAAATCGCTAACAGTTGAATATTAAGAATAGAAGATTTTAAGGAGTTACTGAATATCTTCTGTGTTGTCTATTTTTGCTGTTTTGTTTTATTTTCTCTCCTTTCATGCACTCTTTCCTGCCTCTACCTCTCTCCCCTTAGTCCTTATCCCCTCTTTCTCACCTCCCTTTCCGTCTCCACATTCGTTGTATTTGATTTTACTCCCTAAATAATTTTCACAGATGTTTCATATACAAGTATCAAGCGGAACCGTCATGATGGTCTGCTTGTTTAAGCAAATCTGCTGGGCTATCAGCTAACTCTGGGACATCTATTCCCATTAATCAATGTAGAGTTAGTGCTGATAATGAATCCTCACAGAAACTTAACAATTAAGTCTAACTCAGTTTGACACAATTTGTAAAAAGGATACCAAAAAAGATATGCAACACAGAAGGGCCTAAAAGACTTTGATTTGTGTTATTCTACTAAAAGTTGCTTCAATTAAGAATTGACACAGGGGTTAAAAGCTATACAGCTATATTTCCACTTTTTTAGTTCATCATTTTAAGAAAAAAAGACATAAGGAAGAATATTTTCTTTTAATTGTATACTTATGTTCTGGTTTGGGTTTGCCATTAAAATACAAAATGTAAAAAGGCTAAAGAGGAATGAATGCTATTCCAAAGTCCTTTAAAATCATAAATACTTTCTATACAACAGATGGACAATTTAAAACCTATAGATTGAGTTACATAACAGGGATCAATAAGCAAGTTACTCCGTAGGTTTATAGATTTATATGTGAGCTCTGTGTTAAACCAAAAATTCTTTATATCGAATAAGTGAGTTTAGGACCTCTTCAGTACTATTTCTGGTTTCTCTTGGCTGTTTGCTTATGTTTTACATACTGGTTTGGCTTCCTGTATTCAGCCGCTGCTACTTTCTTCTTTCTTCCTGAATGGCTTAATCAGTTTCGGTACCTGATATAGACAACAAACAATGTAAGCATTAGAATTGGGCAGTAAATTCCATTTTGCTTTCAAGATTAATCATTTTAAAAAATGCTTTATCAGTCATTCGGGAAAACCAGCCCAGCGTTACTCATGTGTCTGTAGCAGGAAATAATCCATTGGAAATATTGTACTTTTTAAATATACATGTTGCAAAACAACTGACCAAATTGATATATCTTTTATTTTGCATCCAAGGTCCCTACTGAGGCCTATATGTCCCAGCTATCCTGGCAGGACTCCCCCATTTATGCTGAAATGCAGCAGGAGAAGCGTCTGTCACAGCAGGAGCCACCCGTCCCAGCTCTGGGCCAGCAGCCTCTTCAAATCATGGACCTATGGGAACAGTATTCTGATTCAGCCACAGGGAGATATTATTATGTCAATAGAATTACCAAGGAGAGGTCATGGAAACCCCCTCGACGGGCTCGCTCTCAGTGCACCAATAAGAGTCTAACACAGCAGGTAATATTTTCTGCTCCCTCTGCACCCTTTGCTTTTCTCATGCTGCTGGATTTGGCCTTAAAGTGTGAAAAGGGGACAGGTCCTGAACCAGATGAAAGGGCTTTCTCTCAAAGGAGAATGTAGACTAGGTAAGGGTTTGGAATAAAAGGCTAGGCTCATTTCCTGGTTTCTATGGTTTGCCTATAAATGCAAATGGAGGATAGTCTGGACATGAAGGCCTGGATTATATTTTCTCACTTTACTAGGGCATAGGATTTAAACATCCAGTTAATTTTAATACAACAGCCCAGTTCTGGAAGGACATTTCCCAGATGATGTGGAGCAGGCTGTAGATAGCTGCATAAGGTCATTTCTTTAAATATCAGTTCATTTTGGGCATGTGTGTTTTGGTGTAAAATGTCTACCTCCTATTGCATTTTGCAGTTATCGTCTGGTCTTAACATCTTCTTTTTCTCATCCGTTTTATTTCCAAATGCAATATTTGTTGAGTCCAGAGCAGATGGCTTTCCAGACATCAGGTTCTCTCATCTAACTTGCAGATCTCTGCACTTTAATTAGAGTTAATCCTCTCCTTGCCGTGGCTTTCAGCTTAGGTGAATGAACAAGTCTGGGTACGTTTGTGCTCTTTCTGTTTTTAGATGATGAATTGAACCTTTTGAGATTCAATATTCAAAGCTGTGAATATTTTTGTTTTATAACTGGACACCCCTTTTAACTTCTATGCAACTTCATCCCTGATCTGTCTGGTTTGTTCTTTAGTCCCCCTGATGTTTTCTAACAGACCTCTGAGGCCTTCACAGAACAGCTTAACTGAGATTTAATGAATGAGCTGATGAGCTGAACTTACTAATATGTGTTTATTAATTTTTTTACCTTTGAAAGGGAGCAGGTTTCACTAGATTCTATTAAGCAAGGGTTTGAGGGAAAATGTAAAGATTATGTTTTATTACCTTCCCAATCACAGTTTTGCACCTGGTTTTAATCAACACAACAATTCTAATAAAATGTATTGAGGTTTATGGTTCCAACAGACTAAACATAAAAAGGAAAATGTTTTGCAAGATGGCTGACAGTAATATACAGTATAAGCTACATTTCTTTCATATTCATGGTCTTGGTCATACAGTGAAAATAAAAATCCTCTGAATATTTCTATGGCCATTGTGTTGCTCTTTGTTTCTGTGAAAAACTTGGATCCTTTTTTGACAGCTACTTCCTTCTTTACTGTTAACAATAAATTTAACTTGTGATGTAAGCGTAGGATCTGTCCTTTTTTTTTCTTCTTTTAAGCTTTTAACATTTTTTCCAGGTCACTGACCAGAAGGAATAAAATCTATTCAGCAACAGTTCTCCTAGCGACACATATGCATTTTTAAAATTTGTTTTATGTCATAAATACGTTACGTTCCACCATTATTTAGAGAAAATTAGAATTATTTAGGAAATACTGCAGGACTATGTGCATAAAAAATACAAATACATATAAATAAAAACTGAAAAGGTACTTTCCTTATTTATGATAATAGATGGTAATTCTTGTTTTAAAACTGGTTTGTATTTGTCTCATGCAGGGCAATCCAGTACAGGCTCAGACGTTACCCCGGGACACCAGCCATCTGTCGCTGCCACTCTCTAAGAATGGCAATGGAACTGTGCACAAGGTGAATATTTTAGCCCCTTATGGGCTATAGAGCAGCTGTGGTGGTAAAAATCAAGAAGGGATGTGTAGTTTAAGTGGAAATAATAATGCACTTTACTTATATGCATCTGTACTCATCCCAGCACTTTCTTGTCTTTTTTATCTATTTTGCCTGTGATGTCTATTAAAAGTGTAGGTATGCCCAAAAGCTGAAAATGGTGTACTTAAAGGATTTTTCAAGTTTATCAAACTGTGCTCAGGCACCATACAAACCAAGTTTTATTGATATATAAACCTATGCACACAGGACTCCACCTCACACACGCAATCAACCATAAATGGTTACTGCGAAGAACCACATGAATGTCAATGTGTATTTAAATGAGCCAGATGAGCAATGTTATTTCGTGGTTGCCATAGCAACCAGATGGGTGAAAATAAGAGACAGACACAGTTTAGCCGAGACTGAAATATGTATGTGTGTTGGTGACTGAAGTGAAGAATCAGATATGTTTGGTAATCAGAGAGGGGTGAAAGAATAAAAGGAGGATTGTTGGAAACATAATCTATTAACAAGCACATCCAAACTTGCAGGCAGTACTGCACTTTGCACTGGCCATAATATTCCAGCTTCATGGATAAATACACAGAAATATTTTATTCCTAAAAGTTTCTTCAGGTGGAGAGTTTGATTGTTATTTTTCACACCTGTTGTGGGATTTGCGCTGGTAATATTCGGCTAATAGGAACTCCAGAGTGGTTAACAGCTGTGATAATTTATAAAAATTTGAAATTAAAAGAGCCAAATATCTGGTTAGACTGCCCACCAAATTATCTACAACCCCTTGGATCTTTAAAGGTATGGAGGATGATCTTTTATTTCCGGGTGGATCATCTAAATAAGTGGTCCTCCTAATTGTCAATCATTCTGGTGATATGTTTACGTAAGGCCGTCCTACGTGCTCGCCCCGTTATCCTTTTCTGTGCATGCGCACTTTCAGGCGTATATCTGTGGTGAGCTATGGTTTTAGACAGTCATTGAAGATCACCTTTCTCACCGCGGTTCTTTGAAAATGGCAGAGGGTCGTAGGGGGAAAGCTGTCTACGAAGTGTATGAGAAGAAAAGAAGTCCTGTAACAGTGGACTTTGGGCAAGCAAATGATTAATAGGGGCGTGCAGGTCGCGCAGTTGCTAGCAGGCATGACCCATGTACGGAGGCCCTGGTCCTCGACGCGAGCGACCCGGCTTCCAATCCGAGCTGTGGTCCTTATAGATAACAAAAAATGGTTTTCTAGAGCATCTGATTTAAACTTAACTGACTTGAACACAAGTAACAATTTGCAGCAAAATGGCTGCTGTACACTATGATAATTATCAAGTGATAAAGTACAATAATACGCACTTCTTCAGGTGTTTGGTCATCATATGCATCTTCCAGCTGCTTAGAGAGTAACAGCTTGCATGGGGCAGTCAGTGTTTACAGCAACGCTATATTTAAAAGTTCCTGTAGGGGGAGTGAGACTGAAAAATGATTAACCACTGCATTAAATTCAGCATCAGTAATTTGCTCAGTTTACTTTTTATTATTTTTATTAATAAGAGAAAGGTTTAAGTTTTATAAGAATGTGTAACTATTTCTGTTCTCTTCCATTTCTCACCAGCTATCTAGTTTATTATAACCCCTCAAAATGCTTTTTAATTTATTAAAGCAATGCTTGTCATCCTATGGATTTTTGCACTCAAAATTTTTTTTTTTATTTGATTGTTAAAAGTTAGCAGTGTGGTATTTAAATTCAATATCTGAGGACAATTAACCGTCTTTGGTAGAGACTTTTGTCATTGTATTTTATCTTCCTTTAGAGTGAACATTATAAGTGGTAATAATAGTATTGCATAATGGTTTAAAGTGCAAACAGCTGTGCTCTGAAATGTGGAAACAGAGACGGACCACAGACATGTTAACCCGGCCCACCTCTCTCATTTGAATCTTGGTGTGTGTGTTGTCACACCTACTCTAAGGCAGATAGTTTTACCAGTTTAAAAAAATCAACTACTGAAGATGCCTGTTGTTTACTGCCATCTGATATAGTTCTCCAGTTTAATTATGTTTTTTGTGAGGCGTCAGCATGCATAAAACAACCTAATGTGATCTGAACTGATGTGAGTTAACCAAAGCTGTTGAAGCCAGAAACAAGAAGACAGGATGTTAATCCTGCCAATAAATTTAAACTATTTACCCCAAGATTCCCAGTGTTTACAGTAAAACCAGACTCCTTTATAACAATGAGTTTTATCTTGCAGTCAGTCTGAGCTTTTGAACTGATAAATCTGTTGTCTCAGATGTTTAAAGAAAGGAGCGTGTGTCTGAAATTGATCCATTCATCAAATCAGAGATGACGTCTCCAAATAAATCAACACAAGCTGTGTTATGCAGATTAGAGATAAGAATTTTGTGTCTGAGCGTTGCCTTGCCTCACCATTGCATCAGTATTTCAAATTTAATGTTGTTCATCAAGAAAAGTGCACACATGATCAAAGTAGTGGTCCCCACCCCCTATGAAGTCTGCTGTTCTGCTGACCTATATGTGTCGCCAATCATTCAAAGCAACATGATATGTATTACATTCTGCACACCTCATGGGTTTTTCAACCAGGTGTTTAAACCAGAGTGGCCCATATAGCATGTCGACATGGAGTTTACTCTGGTCTAGATTTTTATCTTTGAAAATAACTTTGTAATCTTTATCATTTTAACTTCCAAATCAGCTCATCTTTGACGGCTTACGGCTCCACTTATAGATGATGTTGGGCTGAACTGAGGAGGAGATTAATTGATCTTCAACGAGCATAAAACTGCACTGACAACCGCAGTAAAGACCTGCTTGATTGGTTGATTTGTACAATCAATGCAACGGTGCAAACAAAAAAGTTTAGATAATAAAAATGATTTATAGCTTTTAAATATGTTTTAGAAAATCAACTCCCATGTTAGGGGTTTGGGTTGCATACTGGCATCAATTAAAGGTTATTAGATTTTTGAAATTATACATTTTCTATAAATCATCCTTCAAGGTCTTAGGGAAACTTAGTTGCTAACTCAAAATGTAAACTTATTGGTAGCGGCTTGTAGGTTTAAATCTTTCCCAGGTTCTTTCTGAGTGAGGTCTGTTTTATTGAGTATATAAAGGGAGGTTTAGAGGCTTTTTCACACAGTCCCAAAAAGTATCTTAGATTTTTCAACGTTTTATCTGTTGAAACTTGACTTCACTGAACTCTCAATCTCAACTGGATTGTTTATCATCTGTCCTTTCACTGCTGGGGTTATGTCCATTATGTTTACTGATGTTGAAATGTTCCCTTATCCAAACCTGCTTTATAGGAATCAGCTTTTTTAGAGTTCGGGAAGAAAAAAACTAGGTTTTCTTCATTATGTTAAAGGACTAAATATTTAGCATAAAACTGTAACTAATGGTTATTTCATAGTTCTTTAATTTAGGTACGGTATTGCCACATTTTCAAATGTTGTACTTTATACCTACCCTTCATAAAGCTCCACCCTGAGCGTTAATGGTACAACCAGAAGCGCTACCTCTATACCATAGCTGATTTCTATAGTAAAATGTTCTGCAAATGACCCCTGTGATAGTAGGAAAAGGTTTACCAATACTATTGATATCTTGTAGACAAAGGTGATACTTGTTAGAAAAGGACCTATGGAATCATTGTGAGAGGAAAATGAACAACTGAGAAAAAGGTCGCTGAAGTTGATGAGAAGAAAACCTCTTCAGCGAGACTTCTTTAGATGGGTCAGTTGTACTTAGATCTATTGTTGCATCTAGTAAAGAAGAAAAAATCTATAATTTTAGTAAATTAAATAGTTGGTTTACAAGATACACCTTAGAGTTCTAGAGGGAAACATTGAACATGTAAAAAAATTGATTGAAATAGGTTAGTGTCTCCAGTAGAATAATGATCTACGAATAAAAGAAGTACAACAAAATGCATGCAGATCAAATTCTAGTAATTTTAAGATCTTAGCAGCATTATTTTGATAAAGGAAGGTGTGACAGGAGCCTTACCTGTTGCTTTCATTTAAAAACACTTTTTTTTTGTTACCTAGTGAAGATCAGGATTAAAGGACTAATATATCAGCAGGAACTAATTAATGTGTTTGTTTTTAGTAGAATTGATTACTGTAATGGTGTCTTCACACAGTAGGTCTGCCTAAAAATCGTTACACTGGGTCCCCATCTCTCAGGGAATAGACTTTAAAAATACTTCATTTTGTCTGTCAATCACCGAAGGGCTTAGCATCAGTATATCAACCCCCGAGACCTCTTCTGGCTCAAATCTACTCGGCATATCCAGCACCGAACATGAAACACCGTTTACTTTTTAATGCTCCATTAATCTGGAACAAACTCTCAGAAAACTGTAAAATTTGTGAAACCACAAGTTGTTTTTTAACCAAAAATAAATGTATTTGTTTCGAGCAGCCTTTGACTCTGCTATCTGCATTATTTGTTAAGCTTTCACTCCAACGCTCCTTTCAGTTTTTATCAAGCATTTTATCTCCCTTTCAACATAATCATCTTATTTTAACGACTTACTTTTATTCTTTAATTATTTTTTTGCCTCTGTGCCACTGCAGGGTTGGCCTACTTTTATTTTAATGCACTTTGAATTGCCTTGCTACTGAAAAGTTCCATAAAACTAACCTTGCTTTGCTTTTTTAATGTAATTTACAGTATCTATCACCCTGCTACTTATTTTAACTGCCCTGCTTGCTTTTTTTCTATTTTCTACATACCCTTGTTTGTGGTAGAACACCTGTGTTGGTTATGTTTCATGCATGTAGGCTAGAGCTGATGGAAACAGCTGCTCTTTGTGGGTCTCTTAGAGAAACTGCTCAGAGCTGCTTGTCTAGATTTAATTGAAAATCTGTTAGATTCCTTCATACTCAATAATAAAATAAAGAAATATTTTAAGTCTAGTACCAGATAACAATCTGATAAGATGCAACAGTTGCTCAATAAGCTAGAGTTCATCCTATAACCAGCGGGTTTCCAGTTCACTTACATCGTCAGTGTGTTAATGTGTGTATAAATAATGGATTGCTGTGTGAAAAGCTTTGGAGTCTTTGGATTAAAGGAAAGAGTTTTTTTTTTTTTTTATGCCTCCTATGTCTCAGAGTTAGCATGGGCCAGATGCTTGTATCGGGCTAAAAAAGAGATTTAGAAATAATTGTAATAGTTATTATATTCTTCCTATGATTTAATGTCTGGGTCAGAGAACGTGCTGCATAACATAAGCTTCTTCCGCAAAAGAGTAAAATAGTACTGCCCCTCCCCCACATATTGCTACAAAGTTCTGGTCTGCAGCAACAAAACTGTAAAGCACAAACAACTATGGCATGGAAACTATAATGTGAATTGCTGTTACAGCAAACATCAAATAACATCTCAATTTGGCTACACATTGCAAGCACTGTATGTTTAATAGATGACTGTATGTTGGCTACATTATTAAAATGTTTTATTATTTAACAGGCTAATATCAACTGCCAATCTGTGCTTCTTTGTACAATACTAAACAGAATAATAAAAAGGTATAATATTTTGTGTTTATACTACTACTAGTGTTGCTTAAAGGAGAAGTTCGGTTTTTTACACTTTAAGCCCATTTTCTGTAGTGTCCAGGATGAAATCGAATGATCGACACCAAAAGTTTGACAATTGGTCCTGTCTCTGCTTTTTGGCTCATTTAGAATCAACCCCTGGCTGCTTTAGAATGGCTTGCATAGAGCATGTCCGATAATGTCCTTAAAACAACCTTAAACGTTCTTTTTTTAAAATATGCTACTCACCGTGTCGTCAGCGCTGTTCAATGACGTTCCAAAAAAAGTTTCGTGAAGAAAAAACGTTCCTGTAGTGTTTTATTTAGCATTTTGTAAATCCCATTGAGTTCTGCAGGAATAGTCAATATTCCGCTGCCACCGGAAACGGAAATGGGGCCTGTTTACACAGTTGTAGTCTTTTCGCTTCACTCTGTGTACTCCGACGTCGAGGTGCTAACGTCTCTGTTAAACACTTTAAAAAACTCTGAAAATGGAATACGAAAGGTGGATTCTTGATTCTCGACGTCGGAGTACACAAGAGTGAAGCGAAAAGACTACAACTGTGTAAACAGGCCCCATTTCCGTTTCCGGTGGCAGGGGAATATTGACTATTCCTGCAGAACTCAATGGGATTTACAAAATGCTAAATAAAACACTACAGGAACGTTTTTTCTTCACGAAACTTTTTTTGGAACGTCATTGAACAGCGCTGACGACACGGTGAGTAGCATATTTTAAAAAAAGAACGTTTAAGGTTGTTTTAAGAACATTATCGGACATGCTCTATGCAAGCCATTCTAAAGCAGCCAGGGGGTGATTCTAAATGAGCCAAAAAGCAGAGACAGGAGCAATTGTCAAACTTTTGGTGTCGATCATTCGATTTCATCCTGGACACTACAGAAAATGGGCTTAAAGTGTAAAAAACCGAACTTCTCCTTTAATTAAAAAATTTGCTAGATCTTCATAATATTATACCCTACCATTCATTTTTAAAAGTTCTTCCCTTTGATATAATTGTTATTATCAACATTTTGTATTACTTTTTTTTAAATTTTTTTATTCAAGTGTTCAACACATGCATAGCATCTGTTGACATAGATCTATATAAAATTTATTTAAGATCTTGTTGTTTTAAACCTTTAATCAATTAAATTAGTTTCTAAAATACTTTTTTTTATCCTTTAATATCTAACATATTTAATTGAAAATATTTATAAAATGCTTTTAACATTTCAAAACAGCTTGTGTGTGAAATAAATCAATAATCCAACACCGGGTTGGTTGTAAATTCAATTTCTGATCAAACGCTGTAGCAAGAAGTTGAAGAGAGTAAATCTACCTTAGATGTGAATAATCTTTTTTTTTTATATAATACTTCAATACCTAAGAACTTGTAATACAACACACGGCTACCTTTTTTAGATTCGCTCTCAGCCCTAAGTTTAAATCTTAAATTGCAACCAACTTGTTTTTAACTCATGTAGACAGACATATTTGGACAGTGGTTAATGTGGCAACTTTAGCTTGGTGTCATGATTCAGTTAAGCACACCTTCCTGATATGCTGCTGTACACGAGACTGACTGTGTGGGCTGATAAAGGCTGGTTCCCTCTCAAATGGGGAAGTAGTTGGTAAGCAGAGGAGAGGTGCAAGGTTTTTTATATTCAGCACTCGGACAACAGGACTGTCATGACATGAAACCACAGGACGCCGAAGAGGTTAAATCGACTGATAACAATCCACGAGGGTCTGGAGTTAGCCTGAGCTCTATTGAACAATCAAAATGGGCACCTTCACTGTGAGTTTCCTTCTCTGTGTTTTTGCTTGAAGATCTCCAGACCTGTTCTGTCTGCAGGTGTAGTTTTCAGGATTCAGTCTGCTTTTATTGACTGTATTGGAAATATGTTCTCTCATTTCTGGGCTGTATGACCAGAGCCATTGTTGCTGACACCGTTCTGCAGCGCTAAATAGAAAAGTTTGAGATCAACGTGTGTGAGTCAGAAATGGAGCATTTACTCTCATTAACTCCATATGAGTACGGGCGAGTTGGTGTAGGTTTATAAACTCTTATGGTCGGTTATGTTTCCTATGACTGGCAGGATGTGACAGGGCAGAGAGGTAGTTTCTATGCTGGTGTAAGTTTAGCCTTGTATCTGATGAGAGCTTAACAAATTTTTCAACTTCCTGTTTTTCACAATGGTGTAAAATATGCATTTAAGAATGTGTCAGAGTTCAGCAAATATTCACAACTATGACTTTCACAAAAAAAAAAAAAAATACAAAAAGGAACTAAAGATAAGGCATTTCTTTAAAAAATTTCCTGCCAGTTTTAATGAAAATAAATAGAAACTATTGGTTTGGAGTAAAATGAACAAAGCAGCAGTTGACCTTCATTTTCAGTCTTAGTCCTTCTGATTATCCTTTCTTTACAGCTGTCGCCTGATTATATCTTCGGCAGCCACCAAAGGAATACTGACAGCAGCTGGCAGATGAAACAGGTTAGATATTTCTCTACCTGCTCCACTTTTATCTCCACACATCATTTAAAGCATTTCACCTTGGCTATAACCTTTTAAAAAAGGTCAAAGACAAAAGCTACCTGTTCTGGTTTTACATATTCAGCCTGAACAATTGAATGCATTTGCTTAACAAAGTGGGACATCAAATAACTTCAGTGACATTGTTTCCCAGCTTGACTTTGTCACTGCATGGGATAAAATCCTGCCTCCTGAACGGTGATGTACAAGTTCATGCCTTAGGATGGGCAGTTCTGAACTCAATTAGCCAGGTTATAGTAAATGCTTTCATGCTCGTAGCTCATCAACTAAATATTTTCACCTAAATATGTTTACAACTCTTGAACCAGTCGTCATTCATTCATTACTCATTGGTTTAAGGTTTGTATATAATTCATAGTATCATTTAGCACATGGATCTCCAAATAGCTGCCCTCAATAAACACCTTTTAAGAGATTCATCAACAGGACCGAACACTCTGTCTATATATACCGCATTCTTGCTTTTTAAAAATGATTCTATGCTAATAAAGTCAACACAAATTTCCCTTTTCTAAATATAATTTGTTCATAAGAGAGTTGACCAAACACAATGTTGTTATCTAATAAAATCTGAATTGTATTTTAAGACTTAAGCTTATAAACTCTTCAATCATGTACAAACCTCAGTTCTACTTTGAGTTACTTATGTGCAGGTTTGTAAGAGAGTTCAAAGCTGCTGCTGCTCTGCAGGTCTTTGCTCCATTTCTGTCGATAAAGAAAAAGAAAAGAAAAATTAGACACATGCAACCACTCAGTGTAGCCTGAAAGTTTTATATGGGTTGGAGCTAGAGTCTACTGTTAATAGCTGTATAAAGCAAAGCCGAAGGCAGTATGGTGGAATTTTAAACGGGGTGCTGCTGAAATGCATTTCTGTTATGCTGCAGGATTATAATCCGTAGCTCACCAGTGTCCACGTCAAAGAAGCTAAACGGAGCCTGGAACCTTACCCTGGCATGGTTACAATTGCCGGTTGGGCACGGTTTATCTGAACCCTGGAGCGTTTCTTTAGCTGTGTGAATGTGTGTTCATCCCAGCGTATCAAAAGAGAAAGAAGACAGGACAAGACCTAAGAGCAGTATAGGAGAGGAATAAGAAGAGGAGGTTACTAGGTCGAATTGGAAATCGTTTCAGCAACTGTTCAGCACTTTGTTTTGAAAGTGCTACATAAATAAAGTAATATTTTTTGGTTATTAGGTCTCCTTGGGCTAGGTAGAGTTATGAAGAGGTACAGGTGCACAACTACATTTTAACACAAAAGTAGCAACAGGGGAGGAGATTTTTTACTTTGATTTGTAGATCACACAATAATGAAACTGTAGAAGTTGCATGACATTGTTTGGCCTAGGTCAGGGGTAACCAATTAAAAATCAGCGGGGTCAGAATAAAGAAAATCAACAACCAGTAAAGGTCCGGAGACATTTTTAATTATAATGTTACTTTAAATAGAATTTAACACTGAAATAAAATGAGGTGTTTATGCATCCATGTATAAAATGGATGCATAAACATAATAAAAATTATTAAAAAAAAATAGACATTTTTTTTTATATTTTAAAATCTAAAGTGTTTTTTTTTAAGTAAGGAAGAAAAAAATTTTCTTTCTTTTTTATTGCTTAATGAGAGCAGTGGGCTTTAGGCTGCCCTCCAAGGCTTTTAAACCTGGGTTTGAATGGCGACAAAGCCATTCTATTATTATTTTTGATTATGTTCCTGGTGGGAAATCCTGCTTCACAGCAGTAGATTTAGCCAAACACACTCAAAATGTGCAGGGTCACCTTGAGCACACCATTTCACTTTTCTGTCACCAGTTCACCATAGTTCTTCCAACAGTCCAAACTTTATTTCACTTTTTCTCATGATCTTATCCTTCTTTCCCATCGCCCGGCATGCCACAGGTTTGCCTGCTTGGTCTAAAGGTAGTTAGCAGCAGCAGCAGCCCTGATCGACACAGCTTATTGGCTAATTTGTATCTTGTGTTGCTTGGTCCCGGAAGCTCTGGAGGGCTTTACCATACAAACAGAAGCGACACAAGTGAAATTAGACACTGTCATTGGACAACATGCGGTAATTTATAAATGTTTTAAATCAGGTGGGTCCGGATTAGCCAGCAGGTGGGTCTGGATCCGAGCCGTGGTCCGTTAATCCGCATCCTCTGATCTAGGTGATACACAGCACTGTGCATGCTCCAATAAATGACCTCAAGATGAACCAAATTCTCTGCATGTTCCTCAGGCATGCAACAAGCAACCTTCAGTTCAAACTTCTCCAAAATGTTTGGCGGCAATCATGAAAACCTTAATTTTTTCATACACAGCACTCCTCCTGGTTAACGGGTGCAGTGCCAAACTCCTGGTAAATACAGTGATTACTTTAGCTGACAAACCTTGGGATTGTTTTGTTTTTTGTTTGCATACCTGGCTCTGTTGGTAATTCCCAGTTGTTTTGTTGAGTGTTTTAAGGGCCTCTGAATTTTCTCTTGAAGATCAAAGAAGTCTTTTAGATATTCCAAAACCTCTATGTTGGCTGCTTTACTGTAGAACATTTTAAATAAAGCCAGCTCTGCTGATTTGATTCTCAATGATCAGCGTTTATGCATATTAAGGTGGTGAAACGGCAACTCTTGGTGTAAAAAGAAATGCTGTTACCCAAGCAGTTCCTACTGCAACAGGTTGCGTCACAGTGGGGTGTGGGTGCCCTAGCTTTAAAACCCCCTTCAAAAGCCTGCTCTTTGCAAAGCAGCAGATTTGGCTCTGAGAGTTAATCCTCCCTGTATGAAGAGATGCAAACATCAGTAAGGATCTTTAGGCTGATTGTTATAACTGGGTTACAGAGATTGGGAACTTTAATACGGCTTTAGATGCACAGGAAAATAGAAGCCTCTTACTCAGTTGCATGTTCTGGCATGTTGCTATAGCATTGGCTGTTTGTATTTAGGATAAAAGTGTTTTATATTTCTGTTCCCAAATTTTAAGAAGTAAAGTTAATATGAATGTGTTGGTTTTTGTTTCTCTCAGTGTGTAAAATGTTGCTTTTTGGCTTTGTTGTTGTTCCCCATCTAGAAATTATTTAAAGATTGTGTTTTTCGAGCTGCTCTGTCACTTTGAGAACTGAAAGGGCTTCCTGAAACTAGCTGAAAAGGCTGCTTTGAACAGATAAAGTGTAGTTTATTTATACTGTATCGTATACTGTTTCATTTCCCAGCAGTAATAGTCCTTTAACATTTTAATAACAGTTTAAAACCTTTCACTGCATGCGTTTTTCTGTGTTTTTTTTTAATAAAAAGTGCTCATTTTGGTTCAGTTTTGTCCTCAACAGGTGCCCTTTCTTTGTCAGTTCTCTTTTCTCTTGCACCATAAAACCTGTCAGCTTAGGTAAAGGCTGACCGACAATGTCACGATCACCACATGTAAATCTGCTTATCTGCAGTAAAAACTGCATAGTGACAAAGGATTATTATCTTTGCTGCTTGTTTTGTTTTTACCGGCTGACAATATCATGTATGCCAATACTTGGAAATATCTTTAATTGATGCCATACTTTACCTAAATGTAGGATTTTTTTTTGCCACTGCTCTTAGAAACAGCATCTAGGCCATTGTCATAAAAACCAAATCTTAGAACACTGTGTGCAAGTTCTACTTGTTGGAGGGTTTGTAATTCTGGATCAGAAGCAGGAAATACTGATTGGGATCATGTATCACAAAAAGAGGTGAGACTAAGATATCGCAATGGAGTGTTCATGATTTTTGAACTTTTGTTTGAACAGTGTTTACAAATCCTGCTTGAAATAGTGAGGAACTTACCTTACAACATTGCTTTTCAGACAAAGATCAATGACTGGAATGCTGGTTGGCATATTAACAGGGTTCATGAACACTAAGTGTTTAGTTTTTTATTAAGATCAATGATACAGGAACAGATAAAAATGTTTCCCCATACAGATAGCTTCTTTGCTTTTTTGTCAAAAGAAAATATTTGTATATAATCACATCGGTTTTCATATGATTCAATTTATGCAAGATGCTCCTTTAAAGCTAACTGCCCATTCCTAAAAGCTAATTTATGTTTTACTTAAAATCCTGAGGCATAATTAATGCTGCACATATAAAATTATGAAGATGACAGCATGACTTAAAAAAAATACAAAAAATTTAATTATCCTACCCAGATTAAATAAAATAATAAAGGAAACATCAAGTGGACAAATGCAAAGATTTCTGTCTGTCTGGAACTGTTCATTAAATCACTTTTGGACTCCAGTGTACAAAAAGTACTGGAGAAAACATGTAGTAACAGTGGTGAACATTGCCCAAAGTATCCAGTCTACCAAAATCCCTCTAAACGTGCATTGAAGACTCATCCAGGCAGCCTCAGCAAGATTTAGAACAACATCTACAAGAGCTACAGGCCCTTTTTTAAAGAAGGTTATGTAACGACTAAGCAAAAATTATTACTGAGATGCTGTAGCATGACAGTTGATGTTTGAAAATCCTCCAGTGAGTAGGCCAGAGAAGGAATTTCTACACAGTGACATAAAGGCCTTAGTGCAAGTTATGTCAAACTCTTGATGACAATTAAAATGTATTCCCCTTTAAAATTATGAAATTACAATATTTAATTTCCCTTTTCAACCAGGTTATCTTTGTCTGATAGTAGTATTTATTTGATGAGCTAAAACATTTTAACGTGAAAGAAAGTTAGAATAAGTCTGTGAAGGGATTAAGTTCTTCTTCATGGCACCAGTAGTGGATTATCTTAACATGCATTGATAAACCTTTATTTTTGTCCTGTTATGATTCTGCTCTTTTACATGATAACAAATATTTGATTTCTCAAAAACACCCAGCAAGCCATCTCTTCCAACACCTTGAGCACAACTCCATTCACCAATGCAGAAGGACAGTGCCATAAATCTGGATCCCAGCAGGATGCCAAGCAGCAGCTCAGCCACTCTCAGTCCATGATCCTGGATGAGAATGAAAAGGTATTCCCCTCCACCCAAACACACAAACCTCTTTCCTTGCTCATCAGCTCTATGGATTATGCAATGTTTACACAAAGCAAAGAGGAAATTTAACAAGCTATTATCTCAAAAAACAAAGTGCTTTCTGTGAATAAACACTGACGGGTAAACAGCACACATGAGCCTCTCTTTTTTCCACATCTGCTCCAGCAGTGCAGAGAGTCTTCCTGCAATGTGACCAACATCATCGTTGAACCTCCTTCTCCAGAGAGCTCTCCAGACAGTGAAGGATGCTCACCGGTGAGGAAAAAATAAAATGTTGACTTTGGAAATGAAGGCATGGGAAATGTTTTCAATTTTAACTACAAATGTTTATTTCAAAACTGCTATAATTACCTTTGATTAAAATGTGGCAAATTATTTTACCAATCTCATTAGTCCGAAAAATAATTTAATGAATAATTAGGATAAAGTGATGAGTAAAAAATTGCCAGCTTTTCTCTGTCTTTTTAAAAAAGATCCAACACTACAACAGACATTTTGATCTATAAAGAGCTCCATCATTTTGGGGGGATATCTATTTACAGTTACTTTCTCTCACTGACAGGTCTTCCTATAAGGCACTTACAGTATAGCTTTACTGTTTCACATCCTAAATGGGGCCATGCCGCAGTGGGGGATTTCATAGCAGCTCCCTTTTTTATTTTGTGTGTGCTTTTTTTCTTTTTTGTTTTTTTTTTCTTGATGATACAACAACCAAGTTAAATGGCTTCACTCAGGATTCAGTATATTAAAGAGAAGGGGGAAAAAAACCCATCTGAGAAACTTCACTCATAACGTTTAAATATGTCCTTATAGACTAATTTAATCCCAAATATCTCTGCTTACATTAGATAATAGCTGCACAACTAGATAATAGCTATTTCTGCCTACATTAGATAATAGCTTTCATCAAGTTTTCATCACCTTTCAATTGACATATTATATATAGATTATATTATATATATTATATAGATATATCTATATATAGATATATCTATATCTATATATGTAAATATATAAATGAAGGGGATACGTAAACAACCCAATATAACTTAAATTGAATCAAACTTCTGTCAAAACTGTCCAAATGGGAAGCAACACTGATTGAACAGGTGGAAATGATTGACAGTTAGCAAGACACACTCAATAAAGGAAGGGTACTGCAGGTTGGGACCACAGACCATCTCTTAGTACATATGCTTTCTTGGGTGTGTTTTCACACTCCTTTACAACCCACACAAGTGGCTCAGGTAGTGCTGTTCATCCAGGATGGCACATCAATGGGAAATTTGGCAAGAGGGTTTGTTATGTTTGTCAACGTAGTGTCCAGAAGTTGGAGGAGCTACCAGGAGACAGACCAGTACACCAGGAGATGTGGTGAAGGTCATAGGAGGGCAACAACCCAGCAGCAGGCTTGCGTTTTTGCAAGGAGGAACAGGATGAGCACTGCCAGAGCCCTGCAAAATAAACTCCAGCGGGCCACAAATGTGCATGTGTCTGCACAAATGGTTAAAAACAGACTCCATGAGGATGGTATAAGGGCCAGATATCCACAGATGGGGATTGTGCTTTCAGCCAACACCTTGAAGAATGCTTGGCATTTGCTAGAGAACACCAATAAATGACAAATTCAGCATTGATGCCCTGTGCTCTTCACAGATGAAAGCAGGTTCACACTGAGCAAATCTGAAAGATGTGACGGAGTTTGGAGAAATCAATGGAGAGTTATCTGTTGCCTGCAACATCCTTTACATGAGAGGTTTGGTAATGGGTCAGTAATGGTGTGGCGTGGCATTTCTCATGTGGCTGGATTGTGTCAGCAGGTGCTGCAAGATGAAGGCATTAAAACCCATTTCCCAGACCTGAATCCGATTGAGCACATCATAGGGACATCATGTCTCGATCCAAATTCTACAAATTTATCAACAGCTATGTCTTGCCAGTAATCATTAATAAGTTGGCCTAAGGTGGGAATTGTTAAAACGCAAAAGCTTTTCCCCATGCATGGTGGATTCCACCCCAAATGCGGTATCCACAGACTATACACTAAGTGCACAGAAGGAGTCAGAAACGTAGTGAGCATCAGAGCTACCATTGAAGATGAAACATCCAAGCTATCGACAGATAGCTGAATTGACAGATATGACCAATCCTACCAATGGCTAGAGAGGGCCGGGCTGCAGAACAGCTAAGAAGCACTAATCATGGCAGCACAGGCCTTGAGCACCAGAGCAATAGAGGCCCAGAGCTATCATACAAAAAGGAACATGTGAAATTGGAAAAATACTGAGGCCTCAGGGAAGAACTAGAGAGAGCCTGGAAGGGGAAGGCAATGGTAGTTCCCCCCCGGTAGAGTACTCGGGGCAGTAACCCCCACACTGGAACAGTGGCCCCAATACATATCTGGAAAAACAGAGATCTCTGTCCAGAAAATCATTTTTATTCTTTTGTCATTTTCTAGGAACTGGAAAAGGCGGGCCTCTTGAACAAGACAAAGATTGCTGAGGGAGGAAGGAAACTAAGGTGAAACTGCATCAAGTTTACAGTTATGTTAAAACCAAATTGATGTTTCCTAATTTTAGCTCTGCTAAGTTCTTGTGTATTTCCACACGTTTTAATAAATTGAAACTATACACACACACACACACACACACACACAAATAAAATAAATATAGATACAGCTACTGCATAGCCCATAGCATACTATGTTGTTCATGTACCCAAGAACATAACATAACTAGAGCTTATTGGGAAATTCAAAGCCAACTTTTGACAATTGAGGCCAAAATGAAAAATACAGAATGTCCCTTTTTAATAACCAAATCAATTTTTGCACTTGTAGGAAAAACTGGAGTCTTTCATGGGTGGTGTTAGTTGGAAACAGTCTGGTGTTCTTCAAGGATCCAAAATCTCAGACACCTTCGAGCTGGGTGAGAGTTCATGCAAACCATGTTTTTATTATTTTCTTTGTTTTTTACCTAGAATAATTTGAATAATTACGTTATTTGATGGCACCAGCGAGGATCAGGCAGCCTGTTTCAGCAACTCCTTTTAAATGTCCATAGCTGTATTTTGCTTATTTATTCTCCAGTTGCACAGTTTTATGTTGTTAAAACACTTTACAGTACAGTATTTCTTTGTTGATCTTTTATCGCTTTACTATTATGTTATTGTTATACATTTTTCTAAGGTCCACATTTGTGTTACCATTTATTTCTGTAATATTTTTGCTGCTGTAAACACCAGGATTTACCCAATGTGGGCCAGTAAAGGGATTTTCTATTGTATTCTAATTTTTCAGTGACTGTAAAGAAATAATTATTGAATAACCTTGGTTGGAACATCTGGGTACAGCATTTGCTTTGAGCTTGAATTTAGACAGAGTGGTAAATGATTTGAGCCTGTCTTTAGCAACAAACAAGCTATAATTGTTATGTTGACTTTGATTTAGTAAGACATGGGTCAAAAAATGTTTCCCAACAAAATCTCACTTCATACCATAATATTTAACACACTAAGTAATAATTTTCCAATTGTGCATTTATCTCTTATTTATTCTATGACAAGGTATTGTCTCTCAAAATGTTTTCTTATGTCTCAAATAACATTTTAATTTTTTGCTATCAGTGTGAAAATGTGTTCTCTCCAGTATATTTATTTTACTTTCAAAATGATTTTCCCCTTTCAGATCGCTTTTTTTTTCTTGAATTTAATAAAAACACAAAAATAACTCTATACTGCTCCACATTATATGTCTAAAATCGTGTGTTAGGACACTTGAAAAAAGTTGCCATAAATACAAAGACAAATGGTTGTATTATTTTTAAGTGTAGCTATAATTCATGCATTATCCTTTATTTTCTTTAGTTGATATGTTTTACTTGGGTTTTAGATCAAAGGGTGTTTAGGATTAAACCTCATCTCAACTGTAGACCTTTCTTTTACTAAACCTTTCTACCTGATTACACTCTCTCATTACCACGCTTCTACATTATGCTTGACATCCTACCTCTGTGTTGAGGTGTTTTCAGTATTTGAGGACCAGTATTCTGCAGTTAATGCTACCCATCCCTTTTTCCATCACGGCTTATCCCGGCTTGGGTTGTAAAGGGTGCTGGAGCCTATCTCCAGCTGTGTATGGGCGAGAGGCGGGGTACACCCTGGACAGGTCGCCAGTCCATCGCAGGGCAACACAGAGACAAACAGGACAAACAACCATTTATGCACACACTCACAGCTAAGCAGAATTTTGAGTAGACAATTAACCTAACAGTCATATTATTGGACAGAGTACTCGGAGAGAACCTATGCATGCATGCACAGGGAGAACATGCAAACTCCATGCATCAGATTAGAACAATGTAGTCCATTTAAAAAGCTTAAACATAGGTCCATAGGTTAAGCCTCCAAAAACATGCATGAAAAACCAGCTAATCAGAGTTGGATTTACCCACTCCTGCTGATTTTATGGTTTATATGCATTTAGTTAGTGATTTAACAAGAATCTGTTTAGCCAGTTGTGCTTTATCAAACCCGACATGTGTTCAGAGAGCTGTAAAAATCAAATATACATATTTTTTGTATCAATAAACAAAAACAAAAAACTGTTCAAAAGGACACCATGGCTGCTCATTGTGTGCTTGTAATGCCTTGAAATTATCTTTTTTTTTTGTTTTTTGACATGTTGGATCTGGGAAGGTTGGTGGCCTTTTGTAAATGTATTAGGATAATTTTATATACTTTATAGGATTTTTGGATAAAGCATCTAGCATTAGCAATGCTACACTCACTAATAATTCTACTTGCCCATTTGAGATCCATAAAACATTTAAAATGTTTCCTTCGAACCCAATTAGACTTAGTTTTGATATTGTACAAAAAAACAATGTTTTGGAGGAACTACTTTTTCATGACCTCATATTTGTTCTTAAATTATCTTTTTAAATTACGCTTTTAGACAAAATGGACCTCCTACATAAATCTGCATTGATGGGTGAAGAAATTCACCACATTTCTGATGTCAATTTCAAAAAAGCTTATCCACCTGCTGAGGTCAGAGTTCAATTTGGAAGTCGAGGCGTTTGACCTGCTCTGACATTTGACCTTATGTCAAATGTATAGTACATGAATAAGAAGTAGCTATAGTTGTAGTTATTAGGTCATTTCCATTTAAAAGGGAGTGCAGATAAATAATTTGTGAACTTTGCTAATCTAAAAATGCTCCTGCTTCCTAAACTTAAGTGGGAAATCCCACTGGTTTCTCAACCAGCAAACAGTCTATCTTGGGTCTGATGTCAATGACACAGCCTTAGATGGATTGGATGCTGTATCACTCTGGGGTTACTTTTTTTTTGTCTTTGCTTAAGCTATGCTCATTTTTAGTTCCTTCTCCATATATGGTGAGGTTTGGTGATTATTCAATTGTTTATTTTGCGTTTGCCCCCTGCTGATTCACCGGCACTTGCTGTCTTTTAATAAACTATTAAGAAAACCACCGATCTGAACATTTATTACCTGTTAGATTATCTAGAGTGAGCAGAACATTATGATGCAACAATTTTCAAAGGAATAACACATGCAAGTGTTGTGGAAAGGCTCCATATTATGAAAAAAGTAGCAGGGAAATGGTCCCCTTAATTTAGAAGAGAGGAAATAAATATCTGTCTTTTTTGCATGTAAATGAAAAACAGAAACCAGGAAACAGTCGTCCAGAGAGCAGCGTGGATTTAAGAGGAGCGCAGCTAAACTGGGCCAATGACCTGTCCAGCAAGAAAAATGTCTTTAAGGTAAGAAGAAAACTTCATTTAATTGGTTGTTTTATTAAGTAATGCTCAAACATCTGATTTATTATTTAGCTTATTCACTTTGGAGAAGCTGACTAAAATCTAATTCCTGGAAAAAACTTGTCAATGTCTGGAAGGGAAGTAAGAGTTACTCAGTGACATTTTAATGAACTAAAATGAGAAAAAAGAAGCAGTTTAATTTTAATTTCCATAGAAATCTAGCAGGATCTGACTAGTATTACTGTTCTATCTTTTAAAAATGCTGATTTCCAAAAAATTTTGTCTATTTGTTCTAGCTGCGGACAGTCACTGGCAACGAGTTCCTGCTGCAGTCTGACACAGACTCTATGATCAGAGAGTGGTACAACACCATCAAGAACGTTATCGACAAGCTGGTGAGATAAACATGCACATAGAAAATGAAGTCACAACTTACCACTTCTCCATCAGTGGCTATAATGGTTTCCTGATTTATTCCTTAACCTTCACATTTTTGTCTACTTACGCTTAGTGGTAGTGCTGACTTGTGGCACAAAATCCTGAAAAATATTTATATATTTGTTTTATGGCTGTATTGAGGGCTGTTGATAAAAGTTTTAAGTTTTCACAAACATCTTTCAGCTTCTCTGTAACTTGTACCTGATTTTCCATAACTAAACAGTAATTTTAGGGTTTCATGGTATTTTATGAATTAAAAATTAGAGCCAGAAGTGGACAACGTGCATGGATGTCAAGCCTATTGATTTAATACTTGCTTATGGCCCATTCACACTCGATGAATACATCAATACAACAATAGAAACTTTTTCTTTGTACTTGTCAAGGCCATCTGGCCCATTTCAACTGGATAAAAGGTTCCCTTTTACACTAGATACTAAGTGAGTTTTCAGACTTTCTTAAACAATAAAATCCTGTGGTTTATGGGGATGTATAATTCTGGAGGCAACATATTGGGGTACAGGGTATGGCATGGCAAAATGTGGAGGTAACAGTGCCAGCAAGCACATCCAGCAGAAATATGTAATTCGAAGGGTGACTTGTCTTCCTGCATCTCATGTGAAAGGTTGAACTTTATCACTGAAAATGATCATAGAATGTCCCGGTTGAGGTTGTGGTTGGGTGAGTGGAACACACATTATATATGACCTCTTCTTGGGCTGCAGCCAGAAAACCTCTCCAAAGAGCTGCAATGAACAACATGTTATTTCCACGTCAATATACTACAAACTGCAGTATGCTTTGGACACCCTGAGGGGAAAAGTGTGCACAGCTTTAATTTTACCTGGTTTGGCTGTGCTTGTTGCTGGGAGACTGAACAACACAAATATTGTTTCAGGTTACCTTTTTTAGTTTCTAACTAAAAATATGCACATGAATGGCACAGGGGAAACAAATGGCTCAGTCACAATCCACACCCAAATCTCTTTAGGTATGTTGACAAAACCTAAATATTTGTGTTTACAGATTTTTGATTTACTTCCAATATAACTATCTGATTAATCATGATTAATCTATTATTGAAATAGTTGTCTAATTTAGTAATCTATTAATCGCTAAATGGAGTTTAGAAACTCTGAAACATGCCTTTAGCTGACAGAGCATCACACTTAGATCAGTAATTATACCAAAATTGTACAAAAAATGGTAAACATTTTGCAATTAAGATTCATATATTTTTTGTCTGCCACTATGCTCCATCCAGAACTCAAGTGGAAAAGTTTTAGTTTCACCTGGTTTAATTTTGCAAGAAGTTTTCTTTAAGGCATATTTTGCTATCCGATAATTAATGGATTAATCCCAAAAATAATCGACAGATTGATTGATTTGCAAAATAACCGTAAGTTGGAGCCCTACTTGAGCTACCGTGCAAACAAAAAAAAAAGAATGAGAATTTTCTCTATATAAATGTGCAAAGATTTTGGAGATATACCTAAAAAATGTGCAGCTTTATCTACAGTGAAAGAGGGTTCCACAATGTAAGAACTCATGGGAACTCAATAGACACTTAAAATTTGTATTGGTAAAGTAAAATGTTCTTCCTTTTAACAACATCTTACTAAATGGTTTAAATTAAATGTTTTGGTTGTTATATCACAAAATTCCTGAGGCAATGGGGTTAAAAGTTTTAAAAGAAAACTTTTTGATTTTAAAAAGTAATTCTTTATGAATAGTTCTCCAAGTTTTGTGGACATCTTCAAATATTTTTTTGTGCTTTAACTGTGAGCCAAATAATAACTAAATATATATCTTTTTTAATCTTTGAGCAGTGTGCCTCATCTTTGATGTCTTTGTTTTCTCCTCAGGATCGAGAAAATCCATTAGATAATATTCTTCAGTACTCTCTGAGGAGAGCTGGCAGCGTTGAGATGTTGGACCACAGCGGCGACGAAGATGAGAGGAGAGGTTCTCGTAAGTCTTGACCATTTGTTGCCTCCGATCACTTCATAATAGCTGCCTTCCTGCCATCCCTGCCCTCTTCACACAGCCTAGTTCACAGCCTCTACCTCCATCATCACTTTTTTGTCTTAATCTTCATGCAGGCATCTTTCATCCTTCTATCCTTACCTCCATTATATCCTCAATCAAGCCCACCTATTTTTTAGCTCAGCCCCCGTGGCAGATAATTCCGCCATCAGTCCTGGCTCACCTCCGCCGACGCCCAGCGCTCCCACTTTTCATTCTTACCACTATTCCCCCTCCTCTGTTCTCCTGGCCCACAGCAGAGCATCCCGCACTGACCTCCTCTTCCTTGTCTTCCCTTTCTGCTTCCTCCTTTTCTTCTCCTCATGTAGTCCCTCGCTCTGCCTCCAATCTGGAAAACACCGAAAGGAAAAGAGTGAAGACGAGGCTGAAGAAGCTGATCCTGAAGAGACCTCCTCTCCAGGCTCTGCAGGAGAAAGGGCTCATTAAAGGTAAGGTTTCTCTCTGTAAATCGTACGGTGATATTTATTCTGGACTATAGGCGGTGAATCGTTAAAATTATGTCTTATTATCACAAGACAGTCTTAAAGCAGAACCTCAAGATTTGTTTTTAATTTATGTAAAGAAATTGTGTTTTTTAGTGAAGCAAATTAAAGTTATGATGGCAGACAGGAAGTGTCAGCATTCATCCTGCAGTGATGCCACATTCCCCGGTGAATGTGTGATGCAATACTTCCTTTCTGTTTAGTAAGTAACTTTTTTTACACTAGTAACAAAGCATAATTTATTCATCCTTCTTTAAGCTAGAGAGGGCAGTCATGTTATTTAAAATATTCTTAATAAACCATTTAATACACTATGATTCAAGTGCTCGTAAAGATAAATACGCTGACGCCTCATCTAGGTTTCCCTTTCAGATGCTGGGTGATATGAATAAGAAAGTTTGCATTTTCAGAGAAAATCCATGCTTGCAACTCTACAAATACAGAAATGTATGCATGTCCTGTTAGATCTACTTATAAAAACCTGACACACAAAAGGAACATAGAAACACTGCTTTATCAGTATTTTATATCAGAGAAGTTAAAGGTAAAGTAGCTTCATAGGTGGCTCCGTTTAGGAAAGAATCAAATAGTCAAAATAAAGGCTTAGCCCACCAGTATATCATCTATAATTGAAGTTGTTGCCTCACTCCAGGATGGTGTCATAGCTAAACAGAGCACCATGCCAGATTTAGTGACTAAGACATGAAAAGCAGAGAAAACATAAAGTTAAATGTTAAACTAACAAATGATGCAAAATTTGAGAACTGAAATAGAATGAAGCAGAGTGATGTACAGCTCCCACGTCAGAGGAAAAAAGAGAGTATATACAGTTAATTGCAGTCAGAGAAACAGGACTACACTGAAAAAGAGGCCAAGCTCAAACATCTATAAACAAACGGGTTAATGGCAGCAGCACAGGCAAACTCGCAAGCACCCTCAAGTACCCTGCAGAGAGTGTAGAGCTGGTCCCCTGTTACACGTCTAGGACAAAACTCACTCTGCTCCTCCTGAAGCTGAAGTTTGACAATCAGCTGGATTCTCCTCTCCAGCACCCTGGCATTGGCCATCCTGGAGAGGCTGAGAAGGGTGACCCCTATAGTTGGAAACACACCCTGGTCCCCGTTCTCATCAAGAGGAACCACTAGCCCAGTCTTCCAATCCAGGCACACTCTCCCCAATGCTCATGCGATGTTTAAGAGACCTAAGGTACTCAGGAATCTCATTCACCCTAAAGCCTTGGTTGGGTTTTTTTCACCACCTAGGAGACTTCAGCCTGGGTCTGCAGGCACCAAAAGATTTGGAAGCACCAGATGATCTTGATATTGTATTATTTGACTTACTAGAATATAATTTCTCCCTTTGTGATGATGATAAAACAGTTGACTTTCTGTTTGGTAGACAGTAATATAGGATATGCTACTAAATCTTGACGCTGTTACTTGCTGCATGCTTTTTCCCTTTTTTTTTTTCCACATCTTTACTGTTGCTGGATAATGGTGCCACACATTTAAGATACTCTATAGTTTAGAAGTAGAGTGCACGAGTTGAATTGCATCATCAAGTGAGAGCAAACACGTCTGCCGGGAATTGAGTCAATCGTGAGAGGGTTATTCCTGCACTGAACATTTTTTTCAGAAGTCTGCAGCTTGTAGCTCTGACATGATGAACCAAACCTTCTAAACCAGCATAAAAAAAAACAGCCTGTTTATGTCCATCTGTCTTCGCCCCTCAGATCAGGTGTTTGGCTGCCGCCTGGAGATGCTTTGCGAGAGAGAGAGGAGCAACGTCCCTCGATTTGTCAGACTTTGCACGGAGGCCGTGGAAAAGAGAGGTACAGTCACTGCAAACACGTGATCACAGCTAACTGTGGACACTGGGGAAAAAGATCCTGAAACCTGTTTAGTGCATCAGCTGACAGCAACCCTGAGCCCAGTGCGTTTACAGATTTGTGCCATAAAGCCTCCAAAGGCGTATCGGCTAAAAATAGTTGCGATGGCCCATCGGAGAGCAAAAACAACTTTGCTGCAATCCAGAGAGTATCTCATGACAGCTGCCAGCCTGGGAGAAAGATAAATGAGAGAAAATTGACTTGTTTCGAAACAATGCAGCGATGAATATTTCATGCACAGAAGAAAAACTGTTGGGATTTAAAAACCTGTTTTGATTAATTAAATATGTCTAGTGAGTAGAAGTGTGAGTTCAAGGCATTTAAGGCTCTGATGTAACCTATTTGACAAGATGAGATACTTCATTGGTCTAATCAATCTAATGAAATAACTATGAGAAATAACAAAGGGTTTACACCTCTGTGATATTTTAAATGTAAATTAAGGTTTGTTTGTATGGATAAATAAATAAGTACACATCTTACAAAGGATAAGAACAATGAAAATAATCCATATCTTTAATGTACTGCTATAGATGAGTGGGAGAACTACTAGTTTCATTTTTAATCTTTACTCTCCAAACCTCCCACACTGCAAATTAGGAGTCTGCATGCACCCGTATATATATATATATATA